GTACATTTATAGAAATCTAGCTTACATTTAGAGTGTGTATTGCGAAGTGCACTTATGGAGAATGGATTTCATTTAATGATTTTCTTCTACATTTCAAATTTTTATGGTTAGCGTTAGTATACGAATAGACAAATATAAAAACAATAAACTAAACAATCAATATGTTATACAGTAAGACTTTAAACAATAACTTTAGTTACACTCGGTTCTCTTTTTCAAGAAAGTTGATATTCATATAAGTATGAAGACTAGTTTGGAAGAGTACCATTTATACACACATAACAAAAGGTACAATTACTAATTTTTTGCGGTTACAAATTCCTTTTAATATTACGTATTTAGTAAACATTATTTATTTCTTTGACTCCGAATAATGTAAAGTATTCATTGTATGTATGGTGAAGTGGTATAATACTATACACGTAGTAGGATTTAAATTGTATTTTATTTTTTTTTAATAATATAGATGGATCTATACTAAATAATAATAAAATGGCTATTTTATTTATTTAAAATTTTCAAGAAATATATTCAATCATTATATTACAATAGTAAAAGAAAAAAAAAAAATGAAAATGGATTCAACTAAATATTATTTAAGATTTATGAGGAATAAAGATTGAATATTTTTTCCAACTTCCAGGTGCATCTTTAGGAATAACAATGAAAGTGACTTTTTTACCAAGTTTTGTAATCTTACTAGGGATAATAATTAATTTGAAAATTTTAGTATGAGCAAATTTACCCTTAGGAAACACAATAACTTTATACACAAAGTGTAAAGCTTTGCCCTTAGGAAGAACGACAACACGGTATTTTCGAGGAGCTCCAGGGAAATGGAATAAATCAGAGGTTGAGACAATGTTATCAAGAGTTTCACGAACAGGTTGAATGTTAATAAATTCGTTAGCATCAAGAGTTTCGGTAGCTTCAACAGAAGATTGTGCAACGAGACTTTCTATGTTGGAACGTAAGAGAGGATCGGAAATTAATTCACGACTTTCTTCAATATCACTTTCGTCAGTCCCTTCTTTTATATCACTTTCGTCAGATTCATCCTCTCTTAAAACATGATGTCCAGTATTATCACCTAGATTTAATGTTGAAAATGGCATTACTATAAAATGGAAAATATTAATAATAAAAAATATTCTTTTTTTCTTACCAACTGGAGTTACAGTGTCGGGAGCCGTGTGATGAGTTTGCATTATTGGTTTTTCATCAGCACTAGTTCTAGGAACCATGTTAAGAGTTTTTTCATTATTGAGACCAACATCTTGAGTTGGAGCACTAAGAACAAACGAGACAAAAACGGAAACTAAAAATAAAGTAAGAAGTCGCGCCATTTGTTTAAAAAGATTATTTAAAATAGTAAAAAATGAATTGTTTGAACTTCTATTTGATTCAAAAAACGAATGAAGCGAGAAGGCCTTGAATTTATACCTTCTGTCAAAAAGTGAGTAACGAATTTTTAATTAACTATTACGCCTTTTTATCCTTTTCGTTTCGATGTTTGCAAAGGTAAAAGCTTGATTCATTCGTTGTTATGATTTCAATCCATAAGTTTACACGATTATTCTCGGGTAAAAATTCCTGATCGTTATTGATGATATATTATTTGATTTGCTATAGCCGGAGCAAATTATAAATGTTTAATATAGATGCTAAGTCTATCACAAGTAGTTATCACATCCGTATCGTTTAAAAAATTATGACTTTATATAAAATAGACTTGTTTTTTTTCTTGAGTATAATCTAATATTAGAATTGTATATACAGTACTATAGCAATAACGATTGACAACCACTTTTGTACAAACTCTGTCAAGAAACCCACTTAGTATCGTCACCAAAATCAGTTATGTATCATTTGTTTAAAATTAGATCCGAGAATTAATGGTGCAAAAATTTTTGAAAAAAAAAAACGCCCGACGATTTTTTTTTTTCTTTTTTTTAAAGAAATGACCGAGATTTTTTTCTATAATACACAGTATAATGACGAAGATTTTTTTTATTTATTTAAAAGTATGTTTTGATTCAACTACAACTACACTAAGTTTCGGAAGACTTTTTTATTTCAGAAGACTATTAGATTTTTCAAGACAATCAGGAGCCTAAAAACAATAACAATATTAAAATATCTAAATTAAAAAGTCTCAGAAAGAGTTTTCTATACTGCTTCATAATTCATAATTCGGATTTATTTATAGTAAAGCAACTAAATCAACGTTAGCTAAAGCTGATATTTTAATAAGTTTCCATATCGATATAGCTTCTTTAACTCCCAAATAAAAGGTAAATGAAGTAGTCTTGATTTTGCTTAATATGGTTTTTTGAGAAATATTTATCATTATTTCAATTATTCATATGTATATTACTTTCCATTTCAAACATATATGAGTTTTTCTTCGGACTTTATACCATTTTCTTTTTAGAAATATAATCCAACCTTTGCTCTTCATGCTTTTATTTTCTGCTTTCATTTACACGATTTAGGCACTTATCACATATTTTATTATCATTCGTTTAAAATTTTTGATATTAATATTAATCTAATCTATTTATTTATACTAAATGTCAGCAAATAAAATTTACTAGCGTATCTCGCATTGCTTACGCAACGCATTCAAGTGTTTTAAACTTTATTGCGCTTACTAACTAAATATTGATAAATAAAACAATTGAGCTTATTGCAAAAAAAGAAAAATATTTAAATGATACTCATATATACCATTATCATGAAAGAAGACATGCATCAGTGAATTGTATTCGAAGGCTCCAAAAGCATTTTTATCATATTAAAATGGATCGTATTGAAAAGTTTACTGAAAGCGAAAGTTTTATTGAAAGTCTTACGAAAATCCTACTAAAAATTAAAAGTTCTACCCTAAGTCCAGAAGTCAAAGGCCAAAAGTTCTGAAATGTTCAATGCATTTAGGGTCCTGGGTTATCCGAGCCCGAGCCTAATCCGAACTGCAAAAAGTTTTGGTTAAGCCTGCTCGCATTGTTAAGCCCATAATTATAGCGGGCCAGACTCGTGTTAAACCTGGGCCCAAAGCCAGTTACACTGGTCAAGTCCAGCCCGGCAGTTCTAATCGGGTTTGAGCTAGGTCAGGGTTTACAGCTGTTTTCATAAATTCTGAAAATCTAGCAAACATTGACCAACTGAATATTTGCCGATTCGATAAGTTATGGTTATTTTACAATCCTTATAATAACTACGTTATTGCACGGTGTCTGATATATACCTGTGCTAATAAGTAAATGAAAAAAGCACGGATTGTTACATAAGACTCGTGCAATAAGTTTTGATTCGGCAATGATAAATTTTTGATCAAAACTTATCGAATCGACAAATATTTAGCTGGTCAATTTTTGCCTGATTTGCCAGAATTTATGTGAACAGTAAAAATATTTTTACTGGGTTTATGAAAGCCTGGCCTGACCTGACCCATTCCGGACTCTAAATATATTTAACTAAAATAAATTTTGAACTAGCATGGTACTAAGTTACATTTAGTATTAGATAATAGGTATAAAAAAAAATTTGATACCTGTGTGAATTCAGGTAAGTGTAACTCAAGTTATAACTTCAGCACAACATAAACACTAAACCTGTTAGGTTTATCAATAGTAGGCAGATTCATGATTTTATGAGTTCATAATTTCAATTGGATTTACAACTGGGTAAAGTAATAATTTGAACAGTAATGCGTTTATGATTTTCAATTAAGTAACTTTATGATCTCAGTAATAAGAAGGTTAGTGATTTTAATAATAGATGAGTTGATGATTTTAAGAGTAAATAGATTTATATTTTGATTTATAATTGTGAATAGTTTGTTATTTGATAGCAAAGTAAGCTCATAGTTTTAGTAGTAAGTTAGCAACTTTAATAATAGACAAGTTTATAATTTTAACAATAAATAAGTTAAGAATTGCAACAATAGGTAATTTATAGTTTCAATAGAAAGTAGTTTGTGATTTTAATAGTGAATTTTCAATTTTAGTAATGTATAAATTAGTAATTTTAATAGTAGTATATTTGTTTTTTTTTATTTTTTTTTATTTTTAAGGTGGCTTATATTGCTGGGCGATTTTTATTAGTTTGATATATGAGATTATACATAGGCAATCCCTACAGTTTGTAATTACATGAAGAGTGTACAACAAGCCACACGTACAACTTTAGTCATTGTCTA